AATTCTAGGGATTTAAAAAACATCTCACCATTGCTAGCCATCTGGGATGCACCCTTTCTTAAATGTGATTGGCTGGTTCAAAAAAAATTGGTAGCTTTTCTACCAATTTTTCCTCATTTACCATAATTTCCGCCATAGTGATGCTTTATATTGAAGCGAGATCAAAAACCTGTGAAGTATTAGCAAATGAAGATAATATTGTTCAGAATATTATAGAGCTGAATTATGTAACAGCTGAAAGCGCCAAGAATATTCCCAAGGAAAGCAAAATAAAACCTCGTAGCCGTTTTTATAGAACAAGCTCCAGATATAAGCATAAGTAATATTATAATAGATGAATTACATAATAAAGGATAAACTATAAGCCTGAATATGAAACGAAATTCTGTATAGAACATTATGCAAATAATATAATACTTACTGACATCCAATCATCTAAATGTATCAACTAAATAAGACATCTTAACATTTCTAAATATGTATTTTTATAGCCTTGACAAAGGATTCAGGTCGTCTTTGATCCAATAAAATTAAACATGAAAGATATCAAGAACATATACTCAGATTAAACAATATTTTTTATATTTAAAACTTAATCAGATCATTATAATACCCAATAGATAATCCATAGATCAGTCTCTTGAATCAACAAGATGTATATCCGAATACTAGCACTGTTTCATGACTTACTTTCTTTGACGGTTATTTTTATTTCTTTGATTCAGGATTCATTGATATAAATACAAGCAGTTGTTTAGACACAAAATAATCTTTAACTTTCAATTCTTATTTTTATTTTACTTTTCTTTATTGAATAAAACACGGTCTCGAATTATACTTCCTTTGTTCTCTTTCTCTTTTTATTTTTCTTTATTATATTACGTTCCATCACAAGAGTGACTAAGTTATTCTTCAGCAAAACTGTTACTTCTTCTTCTCTTTTTCATGCTTCCTTCACTAGTAAAACTAGAAAAAAATATTTTATACTGCTCGAAAGCAACGTCGGTATTTGCAGTGTTGTGGTTTAGGTAAGTTTAGATAATTAAAATAGAAGTCAAAGAAATAAAAATAAAAGAAAATAAAACAGAAGAAGTACATTGAGACTTGTCAATAAGTTTATTAAAAGTTAATTCAATACAAGTATTGTTATTAGTTATAAGTTATGAGTTATAATGTAAGAGTATTTTTATATTTTGTGGATAAGGATGATGAGTAATAAGAAGATAGAAATATAACAAATTGTATTTGATAATATAATTATAGAAGAATGATTATTAAAAGTTATAATTATAGATTCACGTCTTTAGTATATATTTATTTTTATAACTAATACGTGTATTCTGAGTAGAATCAATTATTACGCGTATTTGTATTATTCTTAGTTTACCCCAGTTTAACTTGTATAAAGTTATTTTTATAAATTAATATTCAGCAGAACAATAATAGAAGAAAGTATATTTTTAGATGTAGGACTTTTTATTAATTAATTATTTTTCTATACAAATGTAAATATACTAAATATGTTTATAGAGAGAATTATTATACAAATGCACTATGTATTCTATTATGACTATTTATCTTATTAAATGAAGTTAAAAATATTACAACCATGAAAATACATATTAGATATACGACTATAATATCAGATATTGTCATGTAATAACATCTTAGAGAATGACAATAATCGTAGCTTATAAATAATTGGTACTGTTATAGCGAGAGTATTCAGTGTGAATAAATATTAACGACCTGTTTACCCCAAACCCTAGACCCTAGAAATAATGATGTACTAATGATGTACTATAAATATTTTATATTTTTAGCTACAGCGACAGCTCAGGGAGAATAAAGATAAAAATATATCTTATTTCAAGCAGGATTATTGTTAGACAATATTTAGACATAATGATTAGTTATAGTAGTATCCACTTTTTCAAATCATACTTCTATTAACAACACTTTTCTTCGAAAACATATAAATAGCCCCTATCATTATTCTCGGTATAATTTATGTGTTAATTTTGTTCTAATAGACTATACAGAGTCTTCAGGGACTTGTCCTTTTTGTTTTCTCTTTCCTTATCTTTTGCACTTAAAACAGCTACATTTTAAGTTAACCTATTGAGATTGAGCAATTGAACGTTGGATAGGCGAGTTAAACATCCGGACATTTTTTCTCATTGTGATGAGTAACTGGTTTCGCATTATATAATAAACAGGGCACGCTAACGCAGGACAAGGGTGTTGTATTTATACATAACATCATAAAGAGGTCAATATTTAACACAACACCAATGAAATAGCATCTATAAACATCATCTAGAACTACCAAGCAAAGTATAAATAGCCAGATAGTTTTTACGAGAAGAATATTTAATATTTAGTTTTTTTAATAATAATTTTTTTCTAACAAAAAGTTATTCTTACTTGTGCCTGTGTCTCACGATGTATTTCTGTCTTCTTAACCCATACAACAAAGGGTTTGTCCAGCCGGGTGAAAAATATTAGTAGTTACATATATTCTTTACCTTGCTTGTCTGATATATATACATTTATGTTGATGTATAGAAACATTTCAGGGAACAAATGTCTGAAGAACCCTCGGCATCAACGACTGAACAGCCTTCAACGCCAACGCGAGGAAAAAGATATCGCCCATTTTTTACAGTCAAGGACTTTGTAAGTTCTGAAGTAATTACTGATGAAGTAAGTATAGTCCCATAATACGTTAAAGCTTCTTTCATGATGTACAGGATACCAGTAGTGAAATAACTTCTTCTCCATCGTCATTTTTTCCATCTGATCTGATGAATATACCTGTTGGATATATTTGTAGAATCGAGATGTGCAAGCTGGAATGGGTTCCTAATAGTCCTCTTCCTATTCCAAATTCTCACTTTGCTGACTTGGTAGATGGCGCCAATAATAAAGCCAATGAGAATCAATTATTCCCCACGGATTATATAACCCGTTTATATGCCTCCTCTATCTTTAAGACTGATAACCCCTTCTTGGTAAGTGAGGACAAGGATGATGATGATGATACTGGTCTGCCGTAAATTGTTTACGAAAACATTCAAGCCTTTAAAAGGGCTATTTAAAAATGTACGCTGTATATTCAACCGCATACATCCACAACTTTGGAGAAGATTGCTCTTAATAATATCATCACTTCCACTTATTTACTACATGGTAGGTCAAGAATCAAGTCAAAAGGATCAGAGATAAATCTTGTTGCCTCGTCTGTTTCTACCTTTTGGAGTCCGTTGTTCTCCGCTCATGACCAAGTACAAACTGAGTTTGATGCCACTTCCTGGATATTCAAACAACAAGATGATAGTTTTGATGCAAATTTACTCCCTGACATCATATTTAATTATCAGCAACAAGAAGAGGTTGTAGCGATAGGTTGTGGAGAAATAAAGAAGCCAGGTGTCTCCGAAGCCTTACTTAACGAAGATAAGATGCGTGTTTTGGAAGTAATGAAACGACAGTTGCATCAGCGCCTCTGCCGTGCCAAAAAAAGAGTATGAAGCAGTGACCTTTGGTGTTCTTGTGCAAGGTAAGATTATGAGGAAGCAGTAGTGTTGCATATTTTACTTATTATGTTTGTTTTACAAAGGTACAACGGTCATGCTTCTGGAGATAAAAATGGATCTTGAGAATGGTGTATACATGTATCATGAGCCGCAACCATTCCCCCTACCTACTAGGCATAATGCTCATACACATTTACAGATTGCTTTAGAGGCCATCAAAAAGTTGAAGGTACATATCATATATAATAATTGTTGAAAGTAGATCCTTGGCTAAAATACTTATATGTTGCTCATAAATATATAGGGCCAAATGTTGAATTCACTTCCGAAAGTAAAATGTCATGATAGTTAGAGCATCTGGAATCTTTACAGGCACTATGTCCGTCCGATAGTGTCTTCATTTGACTCCATCTACCACGGTCTGTAAATATATACTTTACGTGTGCTATAATTTTTTCTCTCCTTCAATTTAATATGTAAATACATAGTATAATTACCATTACTCTAAAATATTATATACGTTTTTAATACATTTTCAACATATCTCACATATGGATATCTTAGAGATGAACCTCTCTGTGCATAATATAAGTGCTAAAATTGTTATAGCAGCTTGATTGCTAAAGTAGAAAATATGCCCTTAGAATATAGCTCGAATACCAGCTTCTCCTAACATAATACATACGTAAAGAGCTTGTGTTGTGTATTTCATGATGTAATAACATAATAGCTTATAATAGTCAAATCAAAGTCATGTATAACGGAACGATTTTGTATATATTGTCTTTGCACTTTATGCATACAATATTACTTAATTTCAGTTTAGATATGACATCCTTGTGATAAGACAATATAATAATGAATGCCAATATTATGAATCAGTAATAAGTCCAACATAAAATAAAGAATTAACAAAAAAGATATAAGTATTGTAGATTATAGATACTATTATTTTTACTCTTATCTAATATACTTATTTCTAAATGGAATTATTGTTGTGGTTTGGGTAAGTTTAAGAATTAAAAGATAAATAAAAAAAATAAAATAAAACAGACAGAAAAGTACGTTGAGACTTGTCAATAAGTTTATTAAGGTGAATTAATTCAAAATATAAGTATTGTATTGTATTGTTTTATATAAAAAATGAAGGGTTTGATAATATAATTATAGAAATATACTGATTATTATAACATCAAGATTGATTATAGACATATTTATGTCTTTTGTATGAATTTATTGTTATATGACTAGTATGCGTACTTTGAGCAAAATCAATTAGTATGCGTATTTCTATTATTATTAGTTTATCCCAGTTTAACTTACAAAGTTATTTCTATGAATTTATATTCAACAGAGCGATAATAAAGGAAAATATAAATTCATATTTAGGACTTTATCAAATATTTTCTAAACAAGGATAGAAATACTTCATATGTGCTTGACATAATTATCGTATAAGTGCACTCTATTTTTCTATTGGACTTATTTATCGTATTGAATTAAGCCGCAAAATTTTATAGCCATAGTTATAACAATAACTAAATAAAATTTTAATAACATGTGAATTTCTAGTCAAGTAACCTTAACCCGTAATATAGCTAGACTGAGGAGAAAGTTTCATTATTTCTCCTCAACCCTAGCATTTCATTGGCTATCATAATATTGCATATATATTTATTTTGTTAAAATATGACAATCATGGGGATTGAACCCGGATCGCCAAACAAGTCCATTGTTAATTTTGTCACGTACCCCTGGGCATAGGCCGGCTCCCATAAATTACATCTACACCGATCATATTGCCGGTTTGTGGAGAAAAAAAAACAAAATTTTCTCCTTATCTGAGCAACCTTGTTGGCTAACAATAAATAATTAGAAGATAATCTTTTTTTTTATAGAAAGGTTATATTAATTCTTCTTATATATTTCAGTTCAACGGACGTCTGTAAGAAAAGCACTATTTGAGTAGTGATTTTATTCTTCTAAATTATTTCTAGAAAAATGAAGCCTACCAGAAGGATCCTCTTTTTGAGCTCTGGCAATTCGCCACTTATACTCACTAGGTGTTATAGTAGGTATATAACGAACTAATTTAAGTAATTGTTCGTGCAATATTTTATAGAATTGTACTGCCTCTTCTTTTTTACCCGCCTGCAAATAATTAGATATGACATACAGATATACTGTATGAGCATATACATAGTATCTTCTTTTTCTAACGCTACGTTTATACATTTCCATAAACAGAGTTGCAAATGTATTTGTTGGCGGAGGGAAAATGACATTTGCGTATTTTTTGAAGACTTCTTGATTGGGGGAGGCAAGATGGACTTTATTACACTAAAATAGAGACATTCAATATTGATATAGAGAACTATAATAAATGATATCAAGTATATTTACGTCAAATATTTCATATAAGCTTTCTTCATTTCTTAAATGGATGAGGTCAAGGTTTAAATGCGCATTGGGTGCAATGCAATAATTATTGACTGTTGATAAAATGTTGGAGTATGATTGTGCATAAAACACAATCAATGAATTTGCTGTTTCAACATTCAATCCATGCAAAAGAAACATGTTAATATAGCTCTTTTCAGAGTCTTCACAATTTGTATAAAACTGAGGAGCAAATATCAGTTCAAAGTGCCGGTCATCAACGTCAATAGTGGCAGCATCAGGGATAGGAGCAAAAACGACTAGATAAATTAAATTTTAGTTTATAAGACAGCATACTAATAAAATGAGCTATGCTTTATACCTTGGGCTAGATCAGCTATATAAGCAGTCGTATTCTCTCGTTTACGTTCTAAATTTTATTACTAATAAGTCATGATCCTTACAATAAATTAATTGCATATATACAAACAATCTTACCTTCTTGATCGGATATACCTTTAATAACTTCATTGATACTTAAATTTTTAAATTGTAAAATTATTTTTTTCAAACTTGAAAGTCTAGTTTTTCTTTCTGCATTTGTTTGTTGATATTCTTCAAAGTTGATATTATTATTCATCTTATCTATTGTATATATTTGCTTGTTTGTTTTTTGTAAGAAAAAATAAAATAAAATAATGGCTACATGGAAGCATTTATATATGAATATGATCTTTTTTTGATAATGGGTGCTTGCTTCATTATTTAATACAAATACAACTCAAGTATAATGTGTACATTTGAAATTGTAAAAAATAATGTAATATTTTCTTCATATCTTGCTTGAATGTCATTTGAGCTTTACACGCGTTTTTTGTTTTTTATCGCATCGCGAATAAATTATGACAACAGATGAATTCATTAAATAAATTAATACAACAAATTACTCGCCTCCTTTCTTTTTTTTTTTTACTTGTCATTAATTCAATATGAGTATGCAAGAGAAAAGAAAAAATTTAATAAACAATGACATGGTACCAGTTACCAAAAAACAGGCAGTATTAGTATTAGATGAAAAAAGTAAGGAAATCTAATGCACTAATGGTGCTATTGTACTTACTCTTTGTTTAAAAATTATAGGTCTAGATAATATTGTTCAACAGTTGAACAATATGGGCATTAGTGTCCATCATGATGGAGTATTAGTTGACTCGAATAATAATAAGTCAACTTTAAAGTTAAAAATAATAAAAAAAGATGAAAAAAGAAGAGGATGAAATAGAAGAAGAGGAAGAAGAAGAAAAGGAAGAAGAGAAAGAAGAAGAAGAAGAGGAGGAGGAAGAAGAAGAGGAAGAAGAAGAAAAAGAGGAAGAAGAAAAGGAAAAAGAAAAAACAGCCACTTCTGCTGAAAAAGCATTAGTGAGCTGTCGTAAAGGTAAAGGCGTGCTTGATAATAATCATAAAGCATTTATTTATTTACTTTGCATTTTAGTCATCCAAAGGTTTATTAAGAAGGACAAAAGACTTGATAAAAAAATCAATAATAGCATTAATGCTACTACATTTGAAACAAAGCAGATGTTAGAAGGCTTTGAAGAAACAAAAGAGGGGCCCTTAACGTTTGACGAACTTAAGGGTCAATTCAAAACCATAGTTGAGAAGTTCAACATGTCTGAGCTAGCCTCAGAACGTATAGCTTTGAACAAGAATATTCTTCGCGTTATTTTTGTTGTTGAATATAAAAAAGCTAGTTCAATATCAACATTTGATAGAACTAAGTTTAGACAAATGGCGTATGAAGGTAAGTATAAATATTTGCACATTAATGTACAAGTTTATAATTATCAGTTGATATATAGAATTAAAAAAAATAAGCAGAAGGATGAAAAAAGAGCCTTTAGAACATTTGTTCAGATGGGGATGAGAATGTGTACGTTGATGTACTTTTACGGTAGTTTTGCACTAGTAGCAAACTCCGTATTTAACACTACGATGTTGGCGGTAGTAAGTATTAATTATCAACAAATATAAATATATACGTATATCAACAAATACATATATTGATACACTCTTTAGGTTGATAGAATTGGCTTTGCAAAGCTATGTAAAGAAATGAATAATGAAGAATTCAAAAAGAGAATAGAAGAATTTGGAAAAGTAGAATTTGGAAAATTAGAAAAAAAAATATTAAATATAGAAAATAATGCTAAACATTTTAAAGAAATTGCTGAAGTATTCATAAGATTAGAATAAAATAATAATTGCTAAATGGATAATATAAAAAAAATAATAGTAATGCATTAACAGAGTATTATTCTACTACCAATAAGATATCAAAATACTATTCACTAATACACACCACACCACACATTATTATTATATATTGAAGAAAACACGTACAGTGTATTGTATACATATAATCTATATAATACGAAATACAACATACAATATAATATAATATAATCCATATTCCCAACCATGATACTTAATTGTACATTTACTATATTATATCCATTCATAAGCGATTGTTTACATTCATACTTGTCAAACACAAAATAACTCGTCTACATTGATGATAACCTCGAAACCATAAAAGAAAAATGTTTGCTAACTATAAAAATAATGTATTAAAAAGGATGACAGATTAAGAAAAATACACAATATATTATACTATACTCTAAGAAAAAAAAGTACCTTTTTATTTTTGTTAGCATCATAAATATATTTGCTCATAATACTGTTCAATGCATCAATAATGTAACAACTAGAGGAACCTATAAAAGAATAAAAATATATATATTGATTAGTAAAAAGCCATAAAGCCATAAACATAATAAATACTACGCTTTGTTCATTTGTTTGTTTAGCAAAATGTATGTTTGAATTAATTAAAACTAAATATTTATATATAAACAGCTAATTAGTATTCAAAGAATTAAAATTTATTTTAATGTTGACAACAGTATTCTTTTTTTTTATTGTTGTTACGTGTAATAAATATATTCTGCTGGTAGTTGCCATTCTATAATATTAATAAAAGGCTTGAAAAAAAATAAAGAAAGAAACAAAGAAAGCAAAAAAAAAACTTTTTCTGAGGAGTAAAATTAAAAAATTATCGTCCAGTCAAAATACAACTAAGATTAGCTTTGTAACATGTCTAAAAAGAATATACAGTAAAAAAAAATAATATAGGTAAACTTTCTATATCCTTCTTGATTGTTATATAAAAGTTTTTCAATATCGTTAATATTTTTAATTAAATAACTACATCCATTTTTGAAATAATTAAGCTATTGTACATTTACCGCTCATTGAACAAATGTTGAGAATATATAAATAGTAAAGGATCTTCCTGTCGCTACTATAGAATAAAGCTGTCTTGAAGCTAATGTTCTTTTTTCTTTATAGAAAAAATAAATAAATGATACAATATCTACATATTTGATAACTTGGACATTTATAATTATTGAATCACTCTTTTTATATTTGTATACATCATCAGATTTGACCCTTTATTATGCATATATTAAAACAAATATTATATAGATTAATGTTGAGTTTATTAACAGAAATCATAAATGACAAATGCTTCTTCAACTGTGATTTAGGAATGAATTGATTGAACTCTTTTTAAATTAATAGAAAAAAAATACCTTGACACTAATTATTATATGTATTTATTTTTATTTTTTTCGATACCCCTTATGACTGTTATTTCATGTGGGTGTGAATTACTTTAGCATTTTGAATACATTTATATAAATGATTAATAATTATGCTGATCAAACTTGCAGTTTTTTATTATTGTAAAATGTATTTTGCTTTAAAATATATTATAAAGTAAATTATCAATAATGATAGCAAGTAAAGCGAAAAATGTTTATAAAATTGTAGTCATCAACATTCATATGAAACATTTCGTTGAAATAAAGAATAACTATATAATCTTTTCGAGTAATAACGTTAGCAACATTCATTGAGACATTTCGCTGAAATAAAGAATAACTGTATAATCTTTTCGAGTAATAACGTTAGCAACATTCATTGAGACAACTATTTGCAATCTTAGATAACAATGTACTAATCATCTGTTTTTTGGTAGAATTCAAATAAAACAAATAAATAGAAATGTAGGGGAAAGAAAATACAATTGTCATGAGCTGACTTATAATGTCATGTTTCATGATTAAACATGCGGATCATAAATTCATTTAAGAAATTCTATCCTAACTCTCTCTTGATCCGCTCCATCTAATAATATTAAAATCACTAACACTTTGTTGTCAACAATATACCTAATTCGGTCGTAACTAATACTTTTCTGATTCACATCCTATCCTCAGACCTCTTTAACAATTCTTATAAATACCCCATC